TCGAGCTTCCTGGTGCCTACCTCGCGTTGCGCGAGCAGATCGAGGGCAGAGGTCCAGGGCAGACGTCACTTCCGGCAGAATCGAGTTAAATAGACAGTGAGCTGTGTATTTTTTTCATTCCTTGACAATGAGCTCGCGGGAGGGTTCGAAACGTCGGACAACTAAACCCCTGGTCCCAGAGAACGTTTTGCCTTCTTCTATAGAGGTCTTAATGTTTTGCAGTGTGCAGCGTCGTATTCTGCGTAAGCCTTTTCAAAAAGCGTCATCCTCTTGGCGTCTACCAATGGTGCGAACTCGAACACTCTGCAAAAATTGGGTTTCTTGTCACTCTATTGCGAGTACAATAGATTAAATTGGTTTCCGAACCAATGCACCCTACCAAAACACAAATGAGCGCTGACAGAATAGTGTAATGTTTAATCCCGTTAAGGCACAGAATCTGGTTATCAATAAACATTTCTGTTTGAGCCTGCACAGATTAGGCGCTGTGTGTTATAGTTCAGTAGCTGAAGGTACATATTCAGCGAAAAAGCTGTATGCGGAACTGGTTGAAGTAGTTTTTATGGTTTAATAACAGTAGACGGGAAGTCATGATAGTTAGATAGCGGCATCGTGTTTTACTTCCGTGGGACGCTATAATAACAATACAGTTTCTGCGAGAAAAATGGATTGCGATGACAGTGGTTTTGTTTTCAATCACGTGACAATAGTTCTAAATACGTGAAGGCCAAGAAGACGGCATGGTAAACTACTAACACCTTTATCACATGGAAACTACTAACTTGAAACATAGCAGGCAGTGGCAAAAACGCCAGAGAAATTCGAATACGGAAAATCAAGATTGTTTCACTTGCATTTGTTGACCATTCACAGGTTCATTTAAAATTCTACAGCGACTTCCTCTTTCCACTAAAATTGGACCCATGGGTATGAAATTTGGTGCGCAATATGAAAATGTCTGCTCATTCCGAAGACGCACAGATGAGCAGAATTTTCAGTTTGCCTGGAAAAATTATTCTTTCCTGCTAACTGGTGTCCTGCTGCGAGACGCCAAAATAGTTCACATTTTCTTGTGGGAATTGGAGTAACGTACGATAATTTCTCAATAATTATGAGTTTTTTGCTGTAAAAAGGGCTTTTTAATTTGTTTTCTAGTACGAAGCAGCAGTTAAGAGAATGAAAAATGTGCTCGAATCCGGAAACGTAGACTCTTACTCGAGATTCTTGCTTGGAAAGTACCTCTTTGAAGTTGGCGACTTTCAGGAAGCCAAAAAAGCCATTCGTTCTGTTGCGAGTGTAAACCCCGGATCCATGGGAGATCATACGAAACACCATGTACGTCCCTTTTATACTCCTTTTTATTACGAAAAGATTTGCAATATATTAACACTACAGCTACTTTTCATTCTTTAACGGCTTAAGTATCTAATTTCATCGAGTACATACTCAAATAAGGACACTTGTGTAAATGCATTTCAACAACCGATAAATTCAGAAGAGCACTCAGCGAGGATACGCAATCTTTCGATAAATTCTCATCAGGCCAGTACAGTTATATGAGAACAGTGGCAAATGTAAAACATGCGATAAATTATGTGAGGCATTTCATCAAAGTGCTTGCCAACTGCCCTTCTGGATTCCCTGTTGGAAATATTTGCAACTGTTAATGTGTTGCGGTTCTTAGCAAGCACTCCTAAAGATATTGCCGTGGCCTTGGAAATTTTAAATGTTTAATATTTGTGCCTTGGCACTTGTGAGGACATCTCAAAATCTTTAACTCATATAACAAAGGGTGTAAATATTTCGGAGGAAATATGGAAATATTCGCAAGTATTTTAGCTCCCGTTAATTGCTATTGGATCTTGCAACAAATGCCAAATAACCCTTGGGGAGGTTAACTATCTTATCTCGTGCCTAAGGTGCTCTAAATAATCTGCCAATGCTTACAATTAAATTGCTAATTGAGGCATGGAAAGAGATTTGAAACCAGTTTAATTCGCCAAATACGTTAAATGCGTGTTTCAACAAGCTTTACAGTTTAACTGGCTAGTGCAAAGGCATTTCAAGAATTTTCTTCAAGCAATCTAGCGTCTTCACAGTACTTAGTCTTAGGTTTTCAAGTCAGATTTTACATGATTTTAGGTCCTTCTGCTGTCATTCCTTGGAGAACATCGGCAGGCTGCGGCGATGTTCCATGCACTTTGCTTAACAAAGCCCTCCATGGGCCGTTTTCTAACCCTCGGCAAGTATCAAATGAAGGCCAAGATGTATCGTCAAGCTATACACACTTTCTCCGCCATCCTCCACCAATCTCCAGCGGTTTGTTTTAAAGAACTATATCTGCCTTTAACTGGAGTGTCCTTTAAGATGAGTAACGTTGTCCAGTAAAAGTACTTTCTCTATAAGTGATCTGCACTCTCAAAGTACTCAGAGCACAACACCATCATCCACAGTGTTCTATTGCTTAGAACGACATTGTGAGAAATGGAGAAGAAGTGGACGCGATCGCTGGTACAGTTATTTAGTATCTGATAGTGCTTCAGTTACTGAATTCGAGCATGAATCTGTAATGTCAGACAGATAAAGTTCTGGGTTCAGCCATCGCGTCTACTTTTTTTCAAATAGCTTCCGGGACTCGCGTTTCCGCTTGGATCGGAAATCGTGCGAAATGTTAGGTAACTAGAGCCACCCGTATTTGCGACACTATCCGAGTCATGTCGAAGCTTTTTTACTGGAATAGGTTGGAACTCTCGTCAGAGGACGTATGGTGGATTCCTGTAAGAGTACAAAAGCTCAGGATAATAAATAAAGTGATCCGGTGCTCGACCATCCTTCTTCCTTACCCATGCAAATACCTGGAACACGAACCTTCGCCTTCATTCTAATATAATTTCTTAACAAATGTTGAGTTTAAGAATGCCGAACCATGGCAGAGACAAGAACAGCCAATCAAACTCAAGGTCTTCGACTCACAAGTCATGCGTTTTAATGTAATCTAACATTTAAATATGAACTTTTAAGAAAGTCGCTGTGCGGCTCTTTTGTTGGTTAAGATTATAATTCTAGATGCTGTAATTGTTTCACTTTTGCCACTGCGGGAAATTCTCAATGCATAGTATATTTTAACAATTAAGACACCTTTAGAGGCCTTAACTTCCGGACGTCATACGATCTGCCCTTCGCGACAATAAGAGTCAAATTTGGCATTTTAATGCTTACGAACGAACCAAAATTTCTACTAAGATCTGTAGACCCAGTAAAAAACGCCACGTTTTCTCTTAGTTAAACATTAGAATTTAACGTAGATATAAACATCTTGTAAAATTACAGTCGAACC